AAAGTTAAATATTTTTCATAAAAAATACATAGTTATATAAATAAAATAAAAAAACATTTTATAAATACTTTTTTTAAATTAATTAGAAGTGTTTTTTTTTTTACTTCATTAAAAGCGTTTCGATAATATAAAAGCATTTAAGATCAAACTTATTAAATTGTAACGGTTTTCTAAAACTTTTTTTTTTAACAAAATTTTGTTTATCTTTTTAAATGCATTAACTTTAATCATTCTTATATTTAAATTCGTTAAAGAGACTTTCGTAGTAGTAGAATGTCATCGTTTATAAAAACAAAACAATTTTTTATTTTTTAATAAGATTTATTTTAGAAATAAACACTTAAACAATTTATATGTTTTAAATTAAAAAAATATATACAACTTTCGATTATATTTAAAAAACAAAACTTTTTTTCAGTAATTTGTTATGAAGTTTTGATGTAATTAATTTCACTATTTTAGAATATTTTTTATTTAGCGCGTTTCTAAAATGTTTTTTGAATTAGCCGTCATAGCAAAATGTAACTTGCGTGGTCATATCAAGACGTGAAACCGCGCGTCTTCCTGTAAAAGCCTGATATATATATATATATATATATATATATATATATATATATATATATATATATATATATATATATATATATATATATATATATATATATATATATATATATATATATATATATATATAATTGCTTATTACTAAAAAGTGTTTGATAATCAATACTATCTTATATGCAGTATATTTTCAATATTTAGAAAAAGTAAAATTTTATTTCAAGAGAAAATTAAATCAAACCCTTTAAATGTTGTGTAACTGGTTGCAGAACCGTTATGAGTTTTACGATTTGCTCATTATTTGGAGGTGAAAAAATTTTGTACAAAGCTCTGCTAGTGTATCATTTAAGTACTGATTTTTAATATGAGCAAGTTGTTGATACAATAAATTTAGTTTCTTTGTGTAATGGCAATACTGTTGCAATTTTGTGTAGATAATAATAGAGTAAATCAAGCATTCTTTAAAGAATTTATTTTGATTTCTCCATGGAGGACATTGAAAACATTTTTTTGCTCTACAATTATGTCTATCTAATCAAATCTCAAAAAAAAAATTTGGTTAACTGAAAAAATTCAAGAGTTAAAATATTTAGACTGTGGCTTTGAAAAAACTGCTAAGTGGATTGACTTGAAAATACTGTTTGAGTTGGAGAAAAATTCAATTGCTAAACCAGGCTTGGTCGGGAAGCAGGTGCGATCGCACTTGATAATTGACCATGGAAATAATATTTAGTTGCGTAAAACCAGCCAGACTTTTTAGTCGTTTTGAGAACATTTCAAAAACAAACAAAAAAGCGCAACAAGATTAACTGGACCGTTGAGAGACAGTTAAAAAAAGAAAACAGCTTTTAACGAAAAAAAACTTTAAGCAAAAAAATACTATTAGAGCAAATATTTTTGAAACGTCGTTCTTTTATATTTTTTTATAAAATTAGGCGACATTTTTTATATATAGTGTAACAACTTACTATTAATGATTGTTTAATAGGGAAACAAATGTTCTTTAATTTATCAACGAGTATATAATTTTTATTTATATACTTATGTCTTATTTCCAGTGCTGGATTGAGGAGGTGGGGGAGAGGGGGATGGGGTAGAAGGGCTATAGCCCTGGGACTTACAATGTTAGAGGCCGTGAAATAGCCAAAAGGACCATTCGGTATTTTTTTTAGTCATTTTTACGCTGTGGCATATAATAAATGCCACTAAAATAATGCAGCCCGCGGCCCTGAAAAGTTTAACAAGATTCAACCAGTAAAACTAACACAAGATGATTTATTTATAAATAAAAAGTTTTTTTTAATAACTGTTTTATGCTTCGGGTAGTTTGAAAAGTTTAACACATTTGAAACTATTCTTTTTAGTAAGATGAACAAATGAAATAATTAAATCATTGAGTTACTGTAGAAATTCAATCAACTAGATAGAAATTAACTAAAAACGTTAAATTACTTAGTGAGAAGGAAGCGGAACAGCTTCACATTACCAATGATAATGTTTAGTGAGTGGGCTTTATAATTTTAATTAGCATTTAAAACAGAAAAGAGTTAAGTATAACGAGTTTGTAAGAATGGCTGAAGCAAAAATAATTGAAGTTAACCAATTTCTAAGGACTTAAAAACTTTTCTTTCTAAGAACTTAAAAACATAAATTCAAAACATTTATTTTTGCAAACAATTAATGTTAGTTTAAAATATTTATAGCTTTGTAGATGTGGCTTCGTGAATGACATAGTATTAAAATAAAAGTTAGTTTGATAGTATATTGTTAAAACAATTTATGCTAGAAATCTCGACGAAAACATAACAAAACTCAAGTAATACAACTGTTTAAAATAATTCAACAGAATACTCTAGAACATTCGGTTAGTATATTTTGAATATTCTCTAATACTTTTTGAACCAATAGAATTAGTTGTCAGTAGATTCGGCGGGTTTTTTGTGTGCAGGAATATTTTTTTTTTAATTTTTCCGCACAAAGTTTGAGAACATTTGTGATTATGTATGTTTCCGTGTAAGTCCGTATAACAAAATATTTTAAAATTTACGATAACTTAATAATTATTTTGCGAACAAACAAGGAAACATATGTGAACTTGAATGTTCTCAAAACGACTAAAAAATCTGGCCGGTTTTTCGCAACTAAATATTATTTCCGTGGTCAGTTATCAAGTGCGATCGCACCCACTTCCCGGCCAAGCCTGTTAAACTATCAAAGCTCAATCAAATGTCTATCTGTCTGAAACCCATAGAATGACAGAATGTTGCATTAAGTCTTCAGATTTTTTGTGCTGAAACATTAACTGCACTAAAGATTCATCCAGAAATGCAGGATTCATGTGAAACTGTTGATTTTGTATCAAAACTTGTAGACTTTTAAAATCCTAAATATTAAAAGTCAGTTTGAAGATGTCCGATTTAAAGATTTTATGATCAGCAAATAAAATTTTTACTTGATTTGAAAAGCAGTTATGTTTGAAAAAATGGCAGGAAAATGCACGTTCGCAATACATTACTTTTTCTTAGTACTAAGAAAAAGTAATGTATTGCGAACGTGTTTTCTGTGACCATTATTATATTACAGTATTAGTTATATAGACTATAATCATATTTTATAGAGATTATTACAATAATACTTTTATTTCTTTGTTATTTTTATGTTGAGAAGAGCAAGAAAGACGTTTCAAATATATTCTGGTTTTTTTTTTACAAGGTCTTAGAGATGTTTTATTTTGTAATAAAATATTGTTTAAAATTTGCACCACATAATTTTATTAAAATTTCATGCTAGAGGTCAATTGTAGTTTTAGTTGAAGAAATTATGAAATGACTATGTTTATAAAATAGTCAAAAAAAATCATAATTCAAAAGCATGTGGTGTAAAGTCAAGGCCAAGGACCTAATTTTTAAACTTAAGGCAAGGTCAAGGACTAACAACTCTCAAAAAAGTATGAGAACAAAAAAAATAAAAAAATATGCAGTACTAGTCCGAATGACAAGCCCTATCACGCCTTCATGGTGTACGTCATAATAAAATAAAAACAACCTTATTTTGTACAAAGTCTTGCAAAATTTTGCAAAACGTATACGACCAAGATCAAACATCTATATAGGCTTATCAGGTCTTATTATACCAGTTTTATTTTACTTATAGTATTATTTTTATAGGTATAGTACTACTGTTGCAAAAAAATGTACATAATTACCTGAAAACGCTAAGATTTTTTTTTCTTACATGATGCATTTGTTAATGTACCCTTTTACGAGTCTCTCTTATAAACTGATTAGCTTTAAACTGAAGCTTATTGCTAAAAATCAACCTGCCACAATCTTGACCTCTATAAGTATAAATGACATGAGTCAGTTATGTTCATTTTAAAAACCTTCTTGTCTATATACTTTTTAGGTATCTACATCATAATAAATCTACGTTTTTTAAGTTTGAATAATAATTTTTAGTATTAGCAAATATTCAATGAAAATTTATAATAAAATTAAAGATATCTTAATACAAAGAGCTTGTTTGGACATTTAGAAGGTTTTAGTAATGAAAAAAAAGAGTGGAACAATTTTGTCTAGCATGTCTAATATCCGGCCCATTGTGCACTGGTCGGAAAAATAACCCTAGAACCTAACTGTTTACATATCTAAAAAAAAATGTAAAAAAAAAAAAATAATGAAATAATGGATAATGGAATTTTGCCGCCCGCCCGCACACTTTACTAATTTTTTTTTAGGACGGGAAACAACTTTGCAATTCAAAGTGGCCTTATGTTTTATATATATATATATATATATATATATATATATATATATATATATATATATATATATATATATATATATATATATATATATATATATATATATATATATACATATACATATACATACATATACATACATATATATATATATATATATATATATATATATATATATATATATATATATATATATATATATATATATATATATATATATATTATGTTATATTAATATATTATGTTATATATATTATATATATATATATATATATATATATATATATATATATATATATATATATATATATGTATATATATATATATATATTATGTTATATTAATATATTATGTTATATATATATATTATATATATATATATATATATATATATATATATATATATATATACATATATATATATATATATATATATATATATATATATATATATATATATATATATATATATATATATATGTTAAGTTTTATATAAATAAACGTTAACATAATACATACATACATATAATAAGCAAATACGCTAAGCAAATAAAGAAAATAGTTGTATACTTATTAATAATAAGTATTTATATTATAAATACTTATTATTTGCTTTGTAAAAATACTTAATTTTACCTATTAACGTCTAAATGTTGTTAATTTATAAACTAATTACCTTCTTAATGATTATTTGAAACATATACATATTTGTAAAGAAATTTTTAAGAAATTTGTTTAGATTTTCAAAACAAACTGAAAAAAAAATTCGTAGCTAATTCTAAGAAAACTCTTAATTTATGTCAAGTTTTTTATGTAAAGTCTTTTAACACGGTTTATGTCAAGCCTTTTAACACGGAAACTCGGTAAATATAAGTGTCTAATGTTCATATTTTCTTCGCTAGTTTTTTTTTTTTTTTTTTTTTTTTTCATGTCGGCGTGATTTGACGGTCTCTTTTCTGCACTTGATTACTAAATATTTAATTTATTAACTAATAAGTCAAGGGCCTACCTGATAATGTGAATAATCGGAATGATATATAATATTTTAGGTGTACTATTGTATTTAAAGGTTATTTACGGGATGCTCTTGTAATGTGTCACGTTTTTCTTTGCGTCTGTGAGTTAAAGGAGAAATTTAGACTATCTTTTAACACAGCTATTCCTTATGATAATATCATCTATTAAAATTTTGATTACCGTACTAATATTCTAGATCAATTCATTTATGTAAAAAAAATTTAAGCAAAATCTTTTTAATTATATTTAACATCTATACTCAAAAATTTTAAATACAGAGCTCATTATTATATGTCAGTGAATTTATATAGGAAATTTGAGCACAGCTATTTTCAAATATGTTTAACAACTATACTCAATAATTTTAAAGTTTACACAAAGTGCAACTTTTAAAAATGTAACTTATAAAAAAATTAGATTTAAAAGAAAAAGAAACATTAAAACAATTAAATGTGAGTTTTCAAACTTAATAAAAAAATCTTTCAAAAAGATTTTTGTTGAAAAAAAAAAACTTTTATAAAAAAAACAATCATCCCTACGTAAATGTTTATAAAGGGTACAATGAGAATAAATGGAAAGCAAGGAACGTTATATAACATTAAGAAACGTTATGTAACATTTTATACCTATAATATTAAAAAATATAATTTTATATGCCGTAAAATCCAAAATTACGAAAATTACGAAATTTAAAATTACGAAATTACGAAATATAAAATGTCGAAAAAATTACGAAATACGAAAAAAATTACGAAAGGCCATCTATCAAAGTTTAACAGTCACTTTCAGTTTCGCTTTCACTTTTGCAACAGCGATGTTTCATTTTCTATTGCTAAGAAAAACAGATATTAAAAAGTTCTTAAACAAATTCATACCTGCGTTAAAGTGAGTCAGAAGTATCAAACTGTTGACTTTTTAAAAACTTTTTTTCCACATCTAAAAAATATAGTTTAAAAATATTATATCAACAAAATTGTCAAAAATAATGCAATAAACTTATATGTAAATCAATTTTTAAAATAATTAACATAAAGATGAGTAATGTAGGTGACAATGCATTTGGATAAAACTCTACAGTGTTTTTAACAAAAAACATTACATCTGTCACGTTTTGATCAAAATAAAAATTTTAATATTATATCGAAAAATTGGTTTTTGATTTAATTGGCTATTTGAACAATCAAATGTCTCAATTATATGTTAAAATATGATGAATAATAGCTAATCTGGACAGTCAGTAATAATCTTTGGCGATGTTATGGCAATGAAAAAAAATTTAATCAACTTATTACACTTAACAAGGGGGCATCCATAAAGTACGTACGCACTAAAAGCACTGGTTTAGAAAATTTCCTCCCTTGTACGCAACTATATGTTTTTAACAACCTCAACCTCAAGTTTTTCAAAACATGAAAAACAAAAAAACTTTTAGTTAGTTCGACATTTCTCTGTTACATAACATAGATTTGATTTTTTAAATTCGTGAAATTCGATGCTTTTGCTTAAAAAAAAAATCAAGTTTTAGGAGAGATAAAGCCGCGTCCGTACTTAAATATATAGATATATAGTATAGTAGATAGTGAAATATCGTACGTGTTCGCTGTCTTTAACACTCCTTTGAACTCATTTGTACGTTTTGGTACATCCATAAAGGTACGTTATTGGTCATCCATAAAGTACCTACTACGTAGGTACTTTATGGATGACCAATAACTTAAATATATTTCCTTTAAAACTCAACATCTGAAAAGATTTACATACATATTCCAATACGGATAAGTCAGTAGTTTAAGATTGCAATATAATTAGATTATATATTCTTTTACCAAGAGTCTCAAAGACCTGATAAAATTTATAATGACCATTGTTCCGAAAGAGTATTTTTAATGTTTTTAGCTATGGTTTGCATTAAAAAGATTTGATTTTTTACTTGGTGTAAACGAATAATTTTTTTAAGAAGAAGAAACACAATATATTCATACAAAGTTCCCTTGATATTTGGAAAGATATTGCAAATTGCGATATATCTCTAAAGAAATCTAAACAATGAGAGCTTTAGTGACGTAAGAAGTTTACTTTCCTCATCAAAAACTTTTTTTTTTTTGATAACGTTGTTATCAAAAATACAATTTTTTATCATATTATGTAATTATGATATTATGTTTTTTTTTATATATTATATAATTTTAAAAACGTTGTTATCAAAATTACAATATTTGAAAATGGTGGTACCCGTAATGATTGTTTAAAAAGAGCTCAATCACTTCTAATGACCGTGAAACCGACAATTGTTAAAGCTGAGCGGTTATTTACTTCCGCTGGACAAATATTTGTAACCGTTTAGACAAAGAAACTTTGCATAGAATTTCAGGGTTAATAATTTTTAATCTAGTTATCCCGGAATTTGAAAAGACCTCTGAAGTTACAATCAAACTAACAATGAAAACAGTTTCAAGTTGATTTTTTTGTTTTTTAATATTTTCTTGTTTTAAGTGCCCGAAGAACATCTAAGGGTTTTGTCGCAGAGCACCGCAGAACAACATTTAACTAGGAAGTTCACGCATCCTTCATAACCGAGGGCAAAATACGCCCAGAGCTCGTTTCGAACCCTTGATCTCTTGCTTCTAAAGCAAGTGATTTAACCACTGCGCCAAGCTGCATCATAGTTTCTATTTTGATAGAGATCATTTTTCAAATTGTGCAGGTTGTCTAGTTCAACAGACGTGTAACATTTAAAGACCTTAGTTAGAAGTTAATTGATTGGTTTAAAAAAATATTTCCTGTTGAGTTCAGATAAGGACAGAAAGCCTGTTTTAATAAAAAAAGGTTTGTCAACAAATAAAAATGACTATTTTTTTAAAAAATTTTTAAAAGAAAACTACACAGTAAATGGAATTGTACTAATTCCAATTAATTATATAATTGTGTAGTATACCATACAGTAATACAAAAATTTCCTTATTTAATATATGGTGATATAGTTTGCTTTTCTATCCACTGTTAGGTTTTTTAAATTATGAACTGTTTTCATTGTAATTTGTTTTTCAGCTAACACAGTTACCTAAGCTTTACTCTGTATATACAAAGGGGAAAGATAACAAGTTGACTAATTAGGGCTGTTAATGGGTTGGGTCTGGGTCGCAGTATCAACGGAACCGGAGCCATAACCTGCAGAAATAACCTGGGTGAAGTCAATGTTGATGCATACTAATAAATTAGTATGCTCCAACATGGACTTCACCCAGGTTATTCCTGCTTACCTAACCTTCTAGCTATAATAGATTATTGCACACTCTTACTTGCTAATAATATTCCGATCGACAACGTTTACTTTGATATAAAAGCCTTTGACAAGGTTCCACGCAAATTTCTTATTTCTAAATTTGTAGTTTATGGTATAAATACCCATAAATGGCAAAACTTGTTGCTTATGGTATAAATACCATAAATGGATCAATACTATGTTGTATAAAAAACTTTTTGGAAAACCGTCGACAAAGATTTGTTGTAAATGGCAAAAACTGGGTATCCGTTGAGAGTAGATTTCCCCTAAGACTTCGTCTTTTCAGCGTAATTTTTTTTATATATGTCAATGATATCCCTAAAATAATCAAATCAAAAGCTGCTCTTTTCGCTGACAATACCTAAATCTCCCACTCTATTGAAATATTCAATTTCTGCAATTGAATTGAATTACAAAGCGATATTGACACTCTTGTTATATGGTCTCAAAAGTAGTGAATAAAATTTAATACTGATAAATGCTCTGTACTACATCTAGGACACAACAACAAATCCCATACTTATACTAAGTATGATTAAGAACAAAATATGAGTAAATATTGAACCCACAAGCTGAAAATAAGATTTAAGTGTTCCCTCAGATTCAAATTTATTATTTTCAAAACACACTTTTATTCAAGTCAACAAAGTAAAACAATTAATAGATCTAATAAAAAGAACATTTTCATTTTATCCAGACTTTTTATCTTTCAAAAAAACTATTTTCAGTTCTACTCCGCCTTTACTTAAAATACTGTGGATCAATTTGTAAACTGCAGCTTATTAAAGACAAACAGCAAATAGAAAATGCATTAAAAAGATCTCTAAAACAATTCAAAGGTTTATATGACCTTGCGCATGAACAAAGATTGTTGGCACTAAATATGGCAAGTATAAAATATTGACAAGTTCGTGGAGATCTAATTAATGTTTTAAAGTGGCGCAATAATAATTTATGTGATAGAAGTCTATTTAAAATTGATGGCTAATTTAATACTCGTGGTCATATATTCCAACTCAAAAAACATTCCTGCCGTTTAAGTCTACGTAAGAATTCTTTTTCAAGAATAATCAACGAAAATAAGCTCTCTTCTTAATGATATTGTAACGCATCATCTCTAAAAAATTTTAGGATTCTAGACAGTCGTCTCAAAAACAAACGGCTTCTTTATGACTCATCCACATTTCTATTTATATTAGTTTATAAAAACTCTGCCACTGTCAAATCAAAAAAGGTCCTCAAAATCTTTAGGGGCCCCTAAATTTGTGGGGCCCGGGGCTATAGCCCCCACCCCACCCTCCTTAATCCAGCACTGTTCAAACTGACAAGGAACTTGCCACCACTTATTTGGCAATTTTAGAACTAAATTTTCCCCCAAAGTCATTAAAACAATTGATTTTGTGACAGTCAAGAAGTTTCTGTTGACAAATCTAACCCATTACTTTCTCAAATTATCATTTTATGGAAAATAAAAAAACAAAAAACCAATAAAACAACATTTATTAACTATAATTACTATCTATTACTAAA